CTTCATACCCATCGGTCGAGCAGAATCTCTGCATTCAGAAAAATATATATTTTTTATGTTCTCCCAACAAGTGTCGGCTTTTGGAAGTGGATGTTTTTTTTTGCGTAAAGTTGGTGATTATGTGGTTATGAATAAGCGGGAGATGTGTGAAGAATAATAGGGATGAAATGGTGCTGAAAGCATATGATAAGTGCAAATTCGGTGGAGTGTTATTGGAGGGCTTGGACCATTTCTTTCTGATTTGTGGACGGTTTGAGTTTTTGGATGAATCGTGCTTACTTCTTCTGTCACTTTTCTTCATTCTCCTTTCCAAATGAAGTTCTCATATTCTTCGGATGCCGAATTTCGTGTTCCCTCTCAGGAGGAATAAGAGAAATGACTGAAGGAGATAACGGGTACCCCGGAACGACGTCGAGCTTCGCTGAACTTTTCAATTTTGAATTTTCAAATATTGAACGGAAACTCGAGCAAGCGGGAAAAGCATTCACGCATGTTCGCACGTATGCGATTGATCAGTTCTCTCAAGATGGAATAACACCATCGCCAAGCTGTGAAAATCACCCGGAAGAGCCTAATCAGCTCTCAAGGTCGGTATAGGTCGAACTTCCTAATATAAGCCTCATGTGTACATAACTATGAGTCAGGGCCAAATTTCGAATCTGACTCAATCGGATCAGACTGAACTGCATCCGGATGACTTCTGTGGCCGCGTGAAGCCTTTTTGGTTATTATGCCTCATTTTTGGAACACAACCAAAGTTCCGAATATTTCAATCGGTGTAATTCTCTCATTGCCTCAGATTGGTTGCGACTGAAAATTCGTACCGAAAGAATAATCAGTTCAATTCACCTTTATAGGTGTAAGCAATCGCTATCGATGGTACTAATACGGTCAACTAAATTCTTGAATTGATGAAACGATAGAAGATGAATTCCGATTAGGCAACAGACTAGAATTATCTAACTGTCCAACGTGTAATTCTGATATTCTTTGTGATTTTAAATGTATGTCTTCAACTAAGGTCAAGTTTCGTGACATTCCTTTGTGATATTTTGCAAACTGTTTTTTCATGACTGAGCCTTTGTCCGTTGATTGGATCCGTACAACAATTAAGGATCACTTATTTGCTTGCAAATAAGTGATCCTTAATTGTTGTACGGATCCAATCAACGGATTGCTATCTATGGACAAACTCCTAAAACGTGAAAGATGCATGAACAAGCTCCATTTCATCTGTTGAAATTTTGTATGATTGTATCGCGTTCAATTTCGTGTGCTTCATTGGAAGATGGTACTTTCGTTGCCAATGAAGTTATATAAATTGCAGTTGTTAGGTGTAAAGTGGTTCCCTGTTTGTATCGTTAACTCCAACTTTGAAGTTTCCTTTTCGGGCTTCTGGAGACTTCGTCAGATGAGGGCAGTTGACGATTTCTAAATTGATTGTTGTAGGTCTCAAATTGCCATGTTAAATGTTGCTCTAATCCTTGTTTAATCGCTTATGTGAAAATTTAAGTAATATTTTTCGATATCTGTGCTGTCAAATGAGATGCCACTGAAGGAAAAAAGAATTTGTGTAATATTCAGGAGTTTTGTCGTTTCGAGAGATATAACGATTTAACAGCTTATGGATTCGGAGACTGGCGGTGATTCACAGGTATACGCTAAAGTCATTTCAAAATTGCAACGTCATTTGAGAGCACCTTCGTTTTTCATCTATATTCTTTGGTCTGTGATAATAGTTAATAGTCTGGAACGATTCACAATCTTGTCCTTGTTAATTATTGTACCATCTTAATTCATGTAGAAGAGTTGTATTTCGACATGTGAAAAGGATATTTTTTTAGTAGTTTTTAGTAATTCAACAATTATAGTAATGTTTTAATCGACTGTAGTAAACTTTATCCTAACTGGGGTGAATCTGTTTACTTTTTTCGAAGACTGACGTAGTTCTTTGTGGGAAATGGTTGATATGATATAGAAACACGTAATTTCTAATTCAGATTTCTGACTTCAGGTTAAGCCTATGGATGTATCAAGCGAGAAGATGAATGGAACAAAGGAAAACGATCTGAAAGAAGATGACCCAAATAAAAAGATTGGGAATGAAGATAAGCCAGAGAAAGAAGTTTCTGAAAAATGCACTGAAGCAGCAAAGGCTGAAGTAGATGACGCAGTTAAGACCGATGATAAAAGCAAAGCTGTTACTGGCGCTGCTAAAACTAGCGAAGAGAAAAGTGAGGGTAATGTGGAAGAAGACAAACAACAGCAATCAGACGTAGGCGTTACGTCGCAAAATCACGCAAAGGAGCCAGATGAGAAGGTTAAGGTTGCTTCAGTAGACTCCCAGGAGCCGGCTGAAAGCAACATAACGAAGAAAGTGCAAGCTGATTCTGATGCTGCAGTTCTAAGTGAAGGTGGTACTGAGGAAAGCAAAAAAGGTTGGTTCATTCTGACGATCTGAACTGTTATTTTTTTACGAAGTAAGTAACCGAATGCGAGATAGACGTTTTCATTCATAATTTGCCAAAGAAGGAACCAAATAAAACTTATAATCTTTAAGGTTATACTGTTAATTGAGTAATTCTCTAAACGCATGTTGATGGTTGATGGTTTAATTTATGATGGTTTATGTTTGAATGAAATATACACAAGTTCAAGGTGAGCTTGATAAATCAGTCATTGTCGAAGGGAAACGAAAGCGTCATGCTGTGGAACGTATGGTGATCAATATAGACACTCCTAGTCGAAAACCGAAAATTGCTGCACCAGGCCTCGGAATTGCTCTCGGTGACATACCGTATGGTTTGTTTTTGCATAGCACTTTGTCATGTCCATCATATCATCACTAAATACAACTGCATTTTTTTTTCTTCTCAATTAAACCTGCCTTCATCAGCTGGAGATCTTCATTATATCGCCTCTTGAACTTTTTTGAAAATATAAGAGCTCAACAAGGAAACATTATTGTAAAACCTATTGGCAAGTAAGATTAAGTGTTGCTATTGGTTTATTTATTGGGTTGATCCGAGGTAATTATTATAGGCCATTTGATGGCATATACTGAATCCATAGCTTGAATGTTCACGCCTTTATAAAGAACAAGCGTTAGCTAGAACGAATATGATTCCAAACGAAGTTGTTTTAAAGAATCAAAACGAACTTAGGATTCCTATAGGAAAATTTTGAATCAGATGAAAAATTTTGGTTTGGAAAAGCTGAAGCCAGTCAATGGCAAATTTTGTTTCGGAGACATTTAAGACAGAGCGATATATAGAAAGCCGAGATTTTTTTTTGAAATTCTCCACACTATACAAGAAAAGATGTGTATTTTCGGTCAAATTTCGGCAACCTTTACAATTGCTCTTTTGCGGCACCAGTATTGCAGTTGTTTGTTTGAAAGCGAGGATGAGTTTCAGTGAAGGAAACACTCGAGAAGACAAAATGCGTGATGTTGAAAGGGATGTTTCGTCTCTGTTATGGTAGAGTGGGAAATCGTGCCTCTATGAAAAAGGAATTGCGTACATTCACTGGGTTTCCGTTCGATGATAGTGACACGCAATTCCAGAAGAGAAAGGCTATAGCTCAGAAACTCTCAGTTGCCGAAGTGATTCGATTATTTATCTTGATTCAGTTTATCCAGTCATCCAAATGTTGACGACTACAATATGATCCGTAAAGAAATTCAAACGGCCCAAGACGTCATTTAACTGCTCACTGTATGGAATTGAAACGGTCTTTGGGATACCGTTTATTCGACACTAATGTTTCGTTTCATTTTTGCGTTCTTTTTTGGAATACTCCGCTAATTTTTTCCTGACTTCTCAACTAATCGTCGAATTCATAATTTTTGTTTCAGCTGAAAAAGATCGCTTTAATTCTTGGCATAGAACGTGCACCCCATAAGAACGATTTGGTGAGTTCACTCGTTGAATGTTGCATTTAATTTTTTTTCTGTACTCGTATCGTTGTCATGTTCAATATGATAGCACCAAACCACTTCACAAATTTTTTTGCCAAAGCAGATCGAAAATAGAATGAGCTAAAATATCTGCCTAAAAATTCAATAGTAACTCTTTCACATTGATTTCATCTCGGAATTTCAGTCTTCGAATTCATGTGGAACATTTGCTGCTCATGTGTTAATTTTAAACGGTTTTGAATTTGTTTAAAATGTAAATAATGTTCGGAAGCGCTCGATGATGGTGGTGTTCTCAGTTGTTGAGTTTATATTCTAAGCGTAGACTTTTAGGATTTTTTTGCGGGTTCCACATTTTTCTAATAATTTAATTTCATGTTCTTCATTTACTCAATTACAGATCAGTAATATTCTAATGTTCCTTCTGAAACCAACGGATCTTGGCAAATCTCCCGAATCATTGGTTAAACGTAAGAAGGGTTCAAAGAAAAGAAAGCGTCAGACGAAAAAAGAAGCCAAAAAAGGTGACGAGGTTCAATACTTGAATTCCCTTTAACCTATCATGTATTGCTTTTGCATTCCTGGTCTGTTCTTCCAACATAATATTTGTGTGAGTAGTAATGTGTTTGTTTGAACGCAAATGTTGTCATTGCTTACCATGTGCGCGTATCACTGTGCTACGGTGGGTGGGGGCCCGCACTGATGCGTTGTCTGTTGGTAGTGCTAACCTTTGCAAGAAGTATTTTGATAAAACGCGAGATGCATAAGTACGACGTTTATTGTCATTTGGTTTCAATCAAGGATTAACGGCGAACATCGCAGTTCCAGTTATTCGAACTGTTATCAAGGAGGCACCTTTTCTAAGAAGACAACAGAGGTGCTTTAAACGCTTCCAGGAAGGGAATTTAACCTTTCAGATAAACCTTGTACTTAACCGACCAGCTAACTTTGATGAGGATCGACTGAATGAGCTCATTCACGGAAACCTGCGTCAGTCTACGTGAGAATTGGAATGCAGGTAAGATGCAATCATAAGATTGGTATTCAATACCTTCATGAAATGGGCAAGGCTCGAAAGTTAGGTGCATGCATTTCTGAATTCTTTTTTGTTCGCTTAAGGTGCTGTTTGTTTATTTGTTATGATTTTAATGTGCAAAACAGTGCCAGCCAGTCACTAAATATTCATCAAATATTGTTCTGATCGCTAACGTCAGCCTTCTATCCACCACCGCACAATGTCGCGCGTACACGCTTTGCAATGACGGTATTCGTATTGTATTTATTATGTGTTTGTATGGACCAACTGAAGTGAAAATCAGCAAATTGTGTAATGGGTACTGAAATGGATTTAAGGAAAAAAAAGTGAACCAAAAGCAAAGAGACAAAAGAAATCAGAAGAAGTTGAGAGTTCGGATGGAGGAGGTGATTCATCTGATGAGGAAGACAACAATGATGATAGTGGCGGCGAGACAGAGAATGCGCATGAGAAGGCATCCGTGACCAAAAAAAGCACTGCACATAACACCGGAGGTGCTCACAAGAAAACCCTGAGCAAAGGCACAGATAAACACAAAAAGAAAGAAACCGAGGTTTGTGTTCGTTCATATTTTTGTTCTTTCTGAATGGTCTCAATAAGCATTTATATTTCGGTTGACTTAATCACTCGATCACCTACCATATCCGATTGCTGTAGGAATGTTTTTTGGTTGTTCGAGATGAATTAACGTCTTCGAAGTAAGAGTTTCATATGTGAATCTCATGAAAATAACTTCGATATTCCCGTTCACTTTCCCCATTCTGTAAACCAGGAGTCCACATGTGGGAATTTACCCATTTTTAGGGAATTTGGGGATTCCAACGCGGTAACGGACGGGTTCAGGAAATTAGTACGTTATGGGTGGGAATAGTAAATTATTGTAGCGGGGGGAAGTAATGACGGCCTGCCATCGAAGGAGGTGATAGAGCACCCGAGCGTGGGCACCACTGCTATATAGGTTCATCGATGAGTTCAAATTCAGTACCATCAGTGTTGATATCTTATCACAGTATCACATGTGTACCAAAGAAAACGTTTATTTCAACGAAATTGACGATCTTTCCAGTCTGTAATCGTCAGTTGAATAAACAATTATTTGTGCTAATAAAAAGATCTTTGTTAGCATGAATCGAAATGGGGCAATGGCGGTCCAACGGACGTGGAACTGAATGCGGAAATTGATATGCTTCTGCACACAATGGATCTATCGCAAGCAACAATGAAGGAGATGTGTGTTGAGGTAAATATGATAAAATGTTATGCTTATTACAAATCGTTTCTGAAAGGACTTCATGCTGTCTCCTCACCGAAACGTAAATATGATTTCGAGTGCATAGATACACATGTCTATCCTTTTCAACGACCTTAATCGGTGTGATTTGTATATGTCAGCCAACGAAACTGTTGTCTGATCACGAACGATTCATTTCAGATAGCGTGCAAATTCCCGAATTTAAATATGGATAAATACAAGAGTGCTTTGAAACAGCGAATCAAAACGGCACTGGATAAGCTGGATGCATGAGTCTTTCGATCTCTTTTTCAATTGTACTGTTGCTGTCGTTGTTTTGATGCACATTCACCCCTCGGCCCCGCCCTGCACGTCAGCGTTTATTTGATATGGTTTATTCTGTTCGTATTCTATAATCATTGATTGGTTGACAAGTGGAACGGGGGAATGATCATACTCGTTTTATTGCCTGATTGTTTATTCTGTTTATCTGGTGGGATTTTGCTAATGTTTTTGAAGCGCGCATTTAGTACGAACTCTTCAGTGCTATTATTCACATTCTTTCTTTAGCAACCTCCACTGAAGTGATGTTGGTCAATGGAAAGTTACATTCAGGGCTGTGATTTGTGGTAGTTCGTATTCGGTTCAGCTCAGTTCTGTACTCAGAGAAGTGTGCACTGGTGAAGAATCTTTCTTTTCTGTTGATTTTCGTTTTGAAGGTCATTTTCAATTCCAATTCTATGTTCTTATTGTTTGTATTCACACTTGTAAATACCTCGACAAACGCGCCTCCTAATATATAGCAGCATACCAATTCGTAATTAAATAAATAAACCTCATTTTAAGTAATTCAATATTACTAGAATTCTCACGTTTATGATTCCCCTGACTTTCGCTCTCTTATCATAATTTCTTTAACGGTGGCGCGCCACATTTTTCTCATATACTCATTCATAAGTGAAATGCACATTTTACTAAAGTTCGTTAATTTATCGGAAAAATACGTTGTTTTTAAAGTTTGAGATGCATGTAGAGGCGTTTTTTCTTCATTCTTTTCAAGTTATTTAAATTTATGCATAAATTTTGAAAATCTGACATCAGCATTGCTAATTTCGATTTGTGAATTTGGCCAAACGTACGCTGCGTCCGCAATGGTGTCGTTTTCTTAATTTATAAACAACTCGTTATCCGTTGAAGGGAAACGCTTTGGTGAATTAATACAGTTTTCATTGGTTTCACTGATTGTATGATGTTTGTTGGTTTTGTCTATTTGTTGTTTACGATGTCAGTTTTAAGCGTTATCACTGTAAATACAATTCATTCTTAACGTTATTGTCTTCAGTAAAAATGTCACCGCAAGATATTTACAATTATTATGAGTTACTAACAAACGCACGCCTGCCTCATAGGTTAAAGATGAACGAAATAGCAGTGACGTATTCGCTGAATCTCTTCTACTTCCTCTATGGTCCGGCTCGTTTCTTCAATCATTCACGATTAATGGTGTTTTAATTTATTGCCATTTGATATTATTGAATTGCGTCTCGCGTTTCAAAGTTCATTCGCAAAGTTCGCTATAAAAAATTCAAACAATGTACGAGGTATATTGAAAGTTCTCTGAAATCAGTCGGAATTATGAGCGCACAAAAAATCCTTATTTTGTTAGAATCGAAGGAAAATGGATAACAGTTGCGCTGTATGACCGCAAGATTTTCGTATTGATAATAACACTGAAGCTATAATTCAACTGAAGTTTTCCATCAAAATATTGATAACAACACAGAATTTACAAACGAAACGATTTATAAATGTTGAATGATAACGAGCTAGTAATGCACAAAACTTGATTGTGGAATAGAAAGGCACAATGCACTGAAAATATCTGACATACAATTACCGAGTACACAATAACTCTTCTTAAAACTGTAATAATCTCGTTGCAATGTTTCCATGCTGAATCATAAGCCAATATGTGACATTCAGAAATGTATTAATCACGGTATTGAAAGAACCGTCCTCCACGAGTACCAGTTTTGTTGCAAAAATCAACATGTGTTTCGAAGGGAAAAGGATTTCAATTTTTTATTCTTCAAATAGCCAGAAATGTTGAGAAATTGAATAAGACTGCTGTCCTTTTTGAAAACCATGTTAGGTATATTTGTATGAAAAATTTCGTTTGGGATTCCTTGATTGCTAAGGAATGAATTCAAAAACGATCAACTTCACGTCAGCCTGATGAAAAAAGTTTTTATTTGACACACAAATAGAAGTCTGCATTCACTGTTGCCTGTTACTCACAATCAGTAAGAATCCGATTGCAACGATCCAGTTTAATTGAATTTAAGATATTTACAGACGTATGAAAAAATATTTAGAAGACGGTTATTAAGGTGAGAACGCATAGCATCATGTAAACTGCACTCAGTTTTGTTGCATGGTTACCCTGAAAACAACAATTAAATACGGAAAGCAAACTGCAAAAAGAAAGCACATTGATCTGTCGATCCACGATTATGCTACTGATATTGCAACCTGTGCGGCAACATAAAAATACTCACATATTCTCCTCAAATTTGTTTTTAAAAAAATTTAAGTCTGCAATTGTCAATCCAATCGTTTTAGTTGACAGAAGTTCTTTTGATCACAAATGAATGCAGCGGCTAAAAAAGTAACTGAAAGCAAAAATGGAACCAGTTTTCTTACAATTGATTTTGCGAAAAAGAATAAGCAGAAGAACTCTAACATGGTGTTGTTTTTGTTGTTGTGCCTCGTGATTCTCTTCTCGTACTTCATTATGAGCGATTTCAGATTCGTCGTCGTTCACCACCATAATTGTGCGTTCAGCTTCGTTTGTGCTCGTTTCGATTTTCTCAAGATGAACCTCTTCAGCTGGGTCGTTCTCAGTTGCCTGCAATTTGCTCGTCATTTTTTCAAAAGCCCGGTTTATTGTAATGATAAACCGATGAAGGATGTGAATTCGTTGCGGATGATTACTTGCTTCTGCAGAATGATTATTCATACATGTTCAGATGATATGCTTGATGTTGCATCGTTAAGAAGACTGGACTGAGTAGTTTCGCTAGACGTTGACCGATGGGCAGTAGTATTGTCATTTAGAGGCTGCTCGTTGATTTCAGGTATTAGACTGCTACTGCTCTCTGCTTCACTGGGATCATCTATCTCAGGAATGTGTTCAACATTCGACAGATTTGGGATTTGCTAAACATTCATTCATTTTAATCGTAAATGAGCATCAAAAACTCGACATTTTAATGTATACTTGAAATTAGTAGCGGTTCTTTTGATTGGATCAAATGAGATTTTGTATAACAGCTAAATAGAAGCGATCATGTTCAGTGGGGCGCAAAGGTGGTTGCAAGAAAAGGAAAAAATAAGAGGGAAAAGAACGGATCAAAGTTCAGCTGTTTTTCTGGACCAGACCATTTTGCACCTCTCCCCTGGAAAAATTTCTGGCTATGCCACTGCATGTTGCAAACCTGGACTTGAATTTGCACAGGTGTTTCAGGCTGTGCGATTGCAGAGTCAATTTCGTGCACTGGTTCTTCACTGACCGCTACGAACGACGGTGGTCCAATTGGAATCTCTGGCTCATTGACTGGTTCAAAAGCGAACGTTGCTATTGTGGACGTTGCATCCTGTAATGAGCCACTGACAAATTTTTGTTTGTGATTAACATCATTGGTGGTCTAAATCCAACGAGAAATGAATGAAAAATGTGCATCTGGATTATTTTATTCTGCATGATTGAAAGCCGACGCATTTATCTTTACTTATATACTGGCAACACTTAGAAAAGGTTTATTTCTGATTGTTAAGGCATCTTTAATGATTTTCAATCAGAAAATTGGTTTCATCACAAAAAAAATTCTATCACATCAAAATGATATTGAACCGTTGTTTCTTAGCAGCAAGGCTTGAAAGAAAATGGAAAGGAAAGCATTGAATATGTTCGATACCCTTTCTTGTGAACTATCTCCTGAGAAGCCTTGAGTGGTCGTGGAGATTGTATCGAAATGAGTACTGATTTGCTCAGATATACTGCCATCATCAATAATCGTCACTTTTACTGTGTCGTCATCACCCTAAACCATTGCAAAATATAATATCATTTTGTTAACGATAATTTCATATCGTCCCGTGAATCCGTGACCGGTCAATCTGTCTAAAGACATTTAGTCTAACGACGGTTTGCCTAAAGACACATTGCCTAACGGACATTTTGCCTAGCGGACAGTTTGCCGACCGGACAGTTTGCCGAACGGACAGTTTGCCGAACGGACAGTTTGCCTAGCGGACAGTTTGCCTAGCGGACAGTTTGCCTAGCGGACAGTTTGCCAAACGGACAGTTTGCCTAACTTACGGTTTTTAATGGATATTTCGCCTAATAGGCAGACTATTCCTTAGGCAAAATGTCCGTTAGACAAATTGTCCGTTAGACGAACTGTCCATTAGGCAATGTATCTTTAGGCAAACTGTCGTTAGGCTAAATGTCTTTAAACAGATTGACTGGGTACTCGTGAATCAGTCGATACGGTATCACTTTCATAAACTAAGATGTAAAGCTAATAACTCATTCCATCTCTCAAACGATGATGCTTTTTAAACAATGTAAGTTAAGGGCCCCTAGATTTTATAACTCGGTAAGAAGATAACGAAGTCGACTGTTTATATGATTAGTAATATTCGATCCAATCGAACTGATGCGATGTATTTGAATCGATAATTCTCCGAATAAAAATTCAACCTTCGGTAAGTAAGCAAAACGAAAACAAGCATCAAACCGATGAGGTGATACTGGATTGGGTTGTATGAATATTAAAATCGTCCATTGAAGCTGTTTCAGTAATCATTTCGGATCCAGTATCTTCTTCGTGTTCCGCGAACAACTGAATAAATGTGACAGAATGAACGAAGTTGTTCAATCTTGACTTATATCCCAGTCATGAGGAAACGAATGAATTTGAGAGCACAACTATTCGAAAAGGAACGCAGATAATGCAATTAGTTGTATGAATTTATTGCTGATACATCAAAAATAAAAATTCTCGGGTTCATTTAGTGTCAACGTTTTTGGACTGAGTGAAAAAAGTACGCGAAGCCAACCAACCGCATTATATTTAGCTGGATCGACGATATACATACATTCGTCAGGAAGTGCTTCAAGGTAAATCTTCGCCAGTTGTCCAGCAACTGGCGACGATGAGTTATCAAGATCATTACGAAGACGTTCACTCGCAACAATTATTTGCTTGAGTGCGATATCCTTAATCAATACTTCCAATCTTATTCCATTTGGAAATTACATATCCATTTCAGTTTAACTTTCATTTTGAGAATTGTTCTGTGTTGATCCAAAACACGAATGTGTTCTCACAAATATATCACTTAATTTTTGAGCATATTATTTGGTTAATGAGCATGTCATTGTAAAGGTAATCATTGAATATACTTCAGCATGATTTCATTCATAAAACGAAAAGATTCAATCGTACAACTTTCATAATCATCTTCCACAATGCACCATTGGTCGAATAGTGGCAAAATAAATAAAAATCAACTCACTCTGAAAATATCTCCTGAACCAGCACATTTTTTGTTCGATTCCGAAATTGTGCATTTCACGATACATTCGAGACTGCTGCAACTAAGTAATATTTCGAAAAAACTTCAAATGCAGCAATAATAAGTTACTTTACTCACTTAATAAAAAATATTGAAATCAGTTAAGAGTGTTCGACGAAATAAGCTTGAATACTTATTTTTCAAATGTCGCTGTAGCAATACTACTTATTTTATGAAATTGTGTTATGGTATCAACAGGGCATTGAAAATAAAGACAACATACCGGCAAACTGGGGTAATACTGTCGAAAAATGCGAACGGATTGACTGTCGCAGACGGCGAAGAATCAAACTGCACAGTTGCATCAGCTGGATGACGGCATTCGGTCGCACACTGATTCACGGTTTCAGCATCTTGCGATTGAATGCATTCGCTCACAAGTCGAAACTCTTAAAACTGTTTCGGATCACTGCAGAATGAATGCTTATCAACACCGTTATCTTCACAATATGAATGTCGTCAAGAAATATGCACAACGAAAAGTAATGAATACTCAAATAATGTTTCATGTATTATGCCTTCAACTTTATCCTTGCAAATATATTCACTGAGTACGATTCGTCTCGTTAATTCATCAGGATTAGCATCGTTACATGCTGCTGCACACTTGATCAGCTGTTCATAGGCACTGCAAGGGATGTCAATTCATTTCAGTGGTCAACAATGACATATTGTTAATATTCTGAGATACTGATGAATTGCCATCTTATGATAGATTACAATTAACATGATCGAACACACATTTCCTTTCAACCCACTGTTGAACATTCGTAACCAACAAAATATTTTGATATGCATTTGACTTATACTTCTATACAGTTATTATATTTCTTGTATAACTTAATTTAAATCACACACTGATGATGTGAAAAACTGTAAACATTTGAAAAAAAAGATGCACACTTACTAAGCCATGACTTTAATTTTCTGTAACTTCAGTGACATTCTCTGATTTAGGATTGCTGAACTTTTATTCTGGTCAATTTCTCCGGTAGAAGATCATTTTGTTTCAGTTCCCCATATTGTACGTGCTTCTCATGAAGTATCTACGTTATACCGTTATACACGTTGACATGAATAATTGTACTGAGTGTTTGTGCAATTGTGACAGAGCAAGATAATGACGGCAATCGAAGAGCGTTTGTTGAACATCATTTTAGTAATCTTTATGCCGTTATTTAAACCTATTTGAAAAGAGTGTTCGTTCAATGCGCAGCGTTGAAATGATTGCTCAAAAAATGTCTCTTTTGTTTCGCTTGAATGGATAAGGAACAGTAGCGCATACAGTGCAGCAGAAAATATTCAAAGCAATCAAATAGCAATCTACCAGATCACGTCCCTCATAACATACCAACCATCTAAAAGGTTCCAGTTCGTTAATAATATTCACCTCCGCTAACAACACTTCTAATAATCGACCATCTATTTTTGTATGTTTTCATAATCAACCACATATATCAACATTTATATTTAAAAAAAACGTTAAATAAGCAACTCAACACATACATTCAAATGAATTTCAGTAATCACTTCGTTATCTGCCAAGCATTTATAAATAATTCACCTACAACTGAAGTAACTAAAGAAACGTCCGAAATGAGATAATGAATATGATGCAATCTCTACGCCCAATCGGTGTAGAACTTACTTACTTTTAGTCATTTGTTAAACACAATTTTCATAACGGTTAAATCCAACTAAACTGTGACTGTGGAAAGAATTCCAGAATTGCAAACTAATAATTTCAGATGTGCAATTAAGTTATTTTTGCTCCCATTTCGGAACGAATTTCGATTTTCAAAACATGAAAATGGAAATCCAGATGTGAGGCGAGAGCAACTGATCATTGGTAGGCAATAGCGCACTACTCACCATTCTGTCTCTGTCGAGCTACCTTTTCATATAAAGGGAAGTATAGTGATTATTTTCACTGCAATAATTATAGAATTAGCGTCACGAAATAGAATTAATCAACGTTATTTTCTTACATAAGCGTTGCAAACTTCCACCAACTCGCAACATTTGGTCTACATGAAAACGCTTAATTCTTCCGACACTAACATACTTAAAATAAATATTTGCACTCTAGTACCGGTAAGTGCCGAATTCGAGCTTACTGTAGTCGCACGCGTTTGAACGGGTCGAGGCTAACTATTCAATCTTACCTCAGAGGTTTGCTATAACTACACCATTAGCATTCCTTCTAAGCTCACTAAGTTAGATAAGTTCCGTGACAGTGCAATGAAGTTTTCTTCATTTCTATCCTCGCAAGGAAAGGATATAGTAAGAGCCGAATGATCGAGACTCTCGGATGAAATGCTCGGCGTGTTGCTATACTTGGAAGGGAATGGAAAGATGACCGCCAGTTGATTGCTTTCATCTTTGAATTTTGTTGCCATCATTGGGTTATTTTCTTATTGTTGAACTTTGCTTTCCATTGTTACTAGGTTTTTCGCTACTGAATGGTTAAACAGCAAAAAACCTTTTCAACCTTTTTATCTGTTCAATAGCTTAACAGGGTTATTTCTCAGACCAATCAGCAGCGCGAATACAAATTTTTAAGGAAGAGTTGAAAGTAGCAATTAGCGAACTAGTTTTGCGGAGTAGCGTTCTAGCGACAACTATCGCTATTTTTTTCGGTTAGCGACACTTTCAGCGTAGTTTTCGTTACTTTTTCGTCAATGGCGCCACTAGCAGATTATTTTTAGCTGAACATAAATATTGTTTAGCAATTCAGCGATTAGCGAAGCTAATCTGTTTCAGTAGCACGTCCATTACATTTTTTAAATAGTAAGATAGTAATTGAATGGTCAAGCCAAAATTCGATGGCAGGCTTCAATAAGAAGCACTATTGAACTCTAAAATACTGAGCCATTTCTTGAAAACTATGAAGAAATGGTCCAATACTGCACAGTTCAATATTGCAGTGTACGATAATGCAGAGCGCATGAAATTGCTTTCACTTCATCATTACTCACAATCAGTGAAAATTGATTTTGCACAAAGTTACTCCCAGTAAATGCTCATCATCAGTCGATCTGTTGAATGAATGAGAATGAATAAATCGATTGTCAGACATTCTTGTCGTTTTTTTTAGATAACAACTGAGAATCGTTTTCGAAGAACGTATAAAGAACATCCAAAACGGCACAAAAACAATCAATGTTCTTCAAGTCATCCTGTGCAATTCTAAATTGTTTAAGCCTATTAGATATAATAGTCCCATTAAAGAAAAACAAAAGTGAAAGTTTGAATTTTCCATACGTACAAGAGGCATATACAAATTAGGTGATAAGTATTTTTTCTATTCTCAAGAATGATGCCGAGAACTAAATGTGAACATATTCGCTTTTGACAGTGAGAGTGTGTACATTAAAATGGCTCACCTGCAGAACTGCTCGATATTAATAATAGTCTTTTCGAAGTTCCGAAGATTACTGGCTGCAAATACCGTAGAGCCATCCCTGAAGCAGTCGTTCAAGCATGCACTGCTCGTCGTAACTGTTGCTTGTGATGGAATTTGTGCTGAAAAAAAATCAGCTTTGAAACAATTCAACACAGGAGTACGATTGATTTCGGCTCTTAGAATGCAGTTGTTAGACGTTGCGAGGTGAGGTATGAGGATTGAAAATCAGAGGTTTGAGTTCGCAGTATCCATTTATAGTGGGGCTTGTTCTATTCAATTCAAGGACAAACTCAACCATATTCTATCATTTTTCGTCGTCATATGCTCCGTCATTTATTCCATTCTAACATTGCGGCGATAATGAAACAATGATTACAGTTATCATTCGAAAAATGAATAACCTTCAAATGGTTTTTCGTCACCCCAAAATTTGGCGAATCATTCGATTCTGGTTACGGATTACCTTGAATAACAAGCATATACTGGACTAAACAATTAAATTGTTTAAATTCATGGTTTGTTAAATGTATTTGTACTTCTGTTTCGTTACAGTTCATTTTGAAGGTAGTTGTTCATACTGATCATCAATCAAGAGATTACCTAACAAAAGAGTTATCCAAAATTATAAAACATGTTTTCAAAATCTATTGAATGAATTGATGGATGTGCACTGAACATTCTGCGTTTTGAATCATTGAAGAACGATTTTCCAAAATGATAATTTGATTTTTTTTCAAGTTGAAAACTAGTAGCAATCTTTGATTAAATCGAGAAAATTATGTGAAATAGCTCGGATTCGGTTCAATAGAACGCACCGCTTTCCATGCTGAATTTACGTCATTCAAATTTTAAAATTGGATGCGAGCAAATCTCATCTGCATAAGGCTTTGTTTGTGTTATTGTTTACATCTTCCTCTGTTGTCGCGTCATTGCAAAATATGAATGTTGAAAAGGATCTTGTAATGACCTCAATTACTGTCAGCTACTTTAAATGGAATTCAATCAAACGCTTCTATGCGAAAAAATTGGCACTGCATAGACTGAACTAGATATTATAGCTTGACTGCATCAATCACGAACTGATTGCTTTATCGAGACTAGAACGTATGAATTTTAAGCAATTCAATTGAAAATTTCTGCCATTTCATGAATTAAATGTATGAAGGTTGCAGCAAAACCAGCAACGCCCAAAACTGATAATTGATTCAGCTCCGGCTCCGGTTCTACAGTTCCGACATTCCGGTTGTAGCTCCAATTCCAGTTCCACGTTTTTAGAAAATTTGTCTTCGCTCCCGAAACTGCGAAATTTTTGCTTCAGCTCTACATAAAAAAATTCTGGCCCTGGCTCCAGCACTGCATTTAACAGAATTTCGACTCCGATTTAAGCTCCGTACTCTTGAATATTTAGCAACGAGTTCAACTTTGCGGGCTCCGCATTGCTCAAAATACTGATCCCGGATCCAGAAAAAATTATACTGTAAGCCTCGGCTCCGGCCGCTGAAGATTGCTGTGATACTTTTTCTTGAGGGAGCTAAAAACTATTTTGGTTACGGAGTTTACGCATCACTGATCAGAACTGGCTCTATTTGTATTGGGAATGTCAATAGCGAAACTGCGTACGATTCCACCGAAAAAATTCGTTGCAGAGACACAACCACGGTCAAAAGAACATCGTTAACTGTAGTTCAGCACTTCGGAATTTCGAATTATCAAGTGAATGAATATTTTTTAATGATTATGAAGATACAGCTTTGAGCTGGTTTATATAAATATTTATTTTATTGCTGATCAGTTGTAGAAAACATCTGTTCAATTGAATGAATGAGATAATCATGAGTTCGTTTCATCAGTTCAATCAGTAAACCCATATGTTACATTAATGCTCATTCTGGTTCTTACGATGACTTCCAAGATTTGCATGTTCTTTCGACGACTTGCAGAAAACGGTTACATTATGAAATGAATAAATGTAAACAGATTAACAATAAGACACCTGCTCCAGATTGCGGTAATCAATAAACCATCTCTATTTGCATTTTTCTATGCAGACACCAAAAAAAGCTGTTCAACATTTAATCGAGCTCAGAAAACAATCTCAAATACCTCCTATCAAGAGCGTTCACAAGACTCGAGAGAAATATTATGTATTTGTACGCTTGTTTTATGATCACCTTCGATTTTATCGTAAGGTCTTCCCTATAAGTTTCTCTCTCATTCTCCTACTTCTTTGTTCCTACCTGATAACATTGTGGCTAACATACCTCATATCAATCTTGTTCGAAAGAAGAACTCGAAGTGAAAGCTGATGTAATATTAAATAGACAAAGGAAATACTATAAGAAACTAAGCATCTGAAAGAAATAAATGCAGAAAAAGGAACAACAAGATGGAAGGAGAGTTAACATGTGTGAATATGTGTATGTAAACGATCTGAAAGAACTTAAGAATGGATCCCACTGTTGTAATTCATTAATTAAGATCCCACTGCTGGTTTAGAATTTATAGGTGATATGAAGACCCATCCAGAAAGAAAACGGTT